AGGAGTGATAGAATAACATTTATTTGTTGCTGTTGATTTGATTAATGAACAATTATTGGTGGAATAACTGAATGGTAATATTTGTTTAGGTAGTGATGCACATTTAACTCCGCTAGTAGAACCTTAGGGGCTACTGCCGGTCCCAAGCCCGGATAAAGGAGGAGGGTTGGACATGGGGTTGGCGACCCCATTCCGTCGAAATCTAACTTGCCAAAAAAACGCTAACCAGAAAAAATAATTCAAACCATTTTAACTCTGCCCTGGGAGTTGGAGGAAGAATTATGACGTCGCGTGATGAAAGCCCAGTTCCCTCGGAAGTCACGAGGCCGATGCCTCTTCTGACAACCAGAGCAACCAATTTTTTAGGTACATAGAACGTTCGTACATTGTGGGAGACTGGAAGACTATTTCAAGTTGCGGCAGAAATGAAAAGATACAACCTCGAGGTGCTCGTCATCAGTGAAACACACTGGACACAAGTAGGACAACTGAGACTAGCTTCAGGGGAACTGCCGTTATACTCTGGTCATGAAGAGGAAAACGCTTCACATACACAAGGAGTTGCACTGATGCTGTCCAAACATGCACGAAAGGCACTGATAGGATGGGAATCTCATGGACCCAGGATCATTAAAGCATCCTTCAAAACAAAGAAACAGGACATTACAATGAACTTCATCCAATGTTATGCACCTACCAATGACTACAGTGACGACGTTAAAGATCAATTCTACGAAAGGCTGCAGTCAGTCGTCGATAAATGTTCACCAAAGGATTTGACGATTCTTATGGGAGACCTGAATGCCAAGGTTGGAATGGACAACACTGGATATGAAGACATCATGGGACGACATGGACTGGGAGAAAGAAACGAAAATGGTGAGAGATTTGCAAACCTATGTGCCTTCAACAAACTGGTCATCGGTGGCACAATATTCCCGCACAAACGCATTCACAAAGCTACATGGATTTCACTGGATCACACTAGTCAAAACCAGATTGATCATATCTGTATCAACAAAACGTTCAGAAGGACTATGGAGGATGTGAGAACCAGGAGAGGAGCTGATGTAGCCTCAGATCACCATTTGCTAATCGCCAAAATGAAACTGAAACTAAAGAAACACTGGACAACGGGGCAGACAACATCACAGAAGTTTAATACCGTCTTTCTTCGGGATGCCGTAAAACTCAACGAATTCAAGATAGCCCTCACCAATAGGTTCCAGGCCTTTCAGGATCTACTCAATGGAGAGGAAGCAACGTTGGAGAACAATTGGAAAGGGATTAAGGAGGCAATCACTTCAACATGTCACGAAGTTCTGGGTCACAAGAAGTACCATCACAAGGAATGGATCTCTGTTGATACTCTTGCGATAATTGAAGAAAGGAGGAACAAGAAGGCAGCAATCAATGTCAGCTGAACGAGAGCGGAGAAAGTTATCGCACAAGCTGCATACACAGAAGCAAACAGAGAAGTGAAGAAGAGCATGAGAGCTGACAAACGAAAATATGTGGAAGATCTAGCAATGACGACGGAAAAGGCTACAAGAGACAGAAACTTGAGACAATTGTACGAAACTACAAGGAAGCTCGCCGGTACCTATCGTAAACCAGAACGACCAGTGAAAAGCAAGGAAGGCAAAGTAATCAGTAACACTGAAGAACAGTGAAATAGGTGGGTAGAGCACTTTAAGGAACTCCTAAATCGACCAACTGCGAAAATATTTCACATCCTCTTCAAGAAGATTTGGGATGAGGAACAAGTACCATCAGATTGGAAAGAAGGATACCTGATCAAAATACCAAAGAAAGGCGATTCCGGTGGAGGAGGAAATCAGGAAGAAGTGGTGGAAGTGGATAGGATACACACTACGAAAAGCACCTAACTGCATCACGAGACAAGCCCTCACATGGAACCCTCAAGGCAAAAGGAAAAGAAGTAGGCCAAAGAATACATTACGCCGAGAAATAGAGAAGGATATGAGAGGAATGAACAAACATTGAACTGAGCTGGAGAGGGAAGCCCAGGACAGAGTTGGTTGGAGAAAACTGGTGGGCGGCCTATGCTCCATTGGGGGTAACAGGCGTAAGTAAGTAAGTAAGTAAGTAAGTGATGTACATTTGTATTTATGATGAATATTAGAACCGTTATTTACCGAAATTACTTGTTTTTGTTTTAACCTGGGCAAGGCGCGTATCTAAACTATCTAGACAGTTATTACTCAGTCTATACCTCAGTGTGGATCCTACAATATATGTGTAGAATTGTTCCATGATCATCCAAATACAGTTTATATATGATGATTCTATGACAGTAGATCTCTGAAAACGTGACTTGCATTATGTCATGAAATGTACTGAAGCACCAATTTCTACTCATTAGGATACAATTTTCCACTCAAAATTCCATTTATTTGAAATTATCAAGTTCAATCTTGGTATTGATGCCTACAAACTCATTGTAGAAAAAAAGTATCTGTTATTTTCACTTCTTCTTATCCTTCTCTCCATTCTGTGTAATTTTTCTGATAAAAGTTTCATCCACTTGAACATGTGTGAACTGTGAATGAATTATATTTTTGGGACAGATTTTGTTGTAGTGGTTGTTCTAATGTACTGTAGCAATTTCTAATTTGTCTGTTTACGTCAATCCACAGGTCGCATGAGACTCTTTGATAGATTATTTCCACAAAAACATCCTTTTTCTGAGCTGTAACTTCAGATTTGTAAAAAGAGTAACCAATTTCAGATTGATTTTTTTCGCATGAATTCCATTAAAACATCAGGTTCATAAGCGACTTTTCTGATTATCTGAGTAATATTTCTTATTGAGCTTTCACAGTGAACTTCACTTTATTATGTCGATCATGATATCACTGTACTTGTAACTGTTAATAATGATGTTAATAATAATGTTGAAGTCATTTGTCAATAGTTTTCAAACCTTTGCTGGAAAACCTTAATAGCCACGATCGTGAATTAGACAAGTTGACCGAGGTAGTGTACTTATGAGTTAAAAATTACTAGAAATCTGTTTTGTCCTAGTTTTGCTTTCCAGAAATGTCTAAAACTAACAAGTCAAAACTTTCACATGCATAAACTGAAGTGTATACTTCAAGATTCATCAGCATCAGACTAGTTCCTTGAAAATCGTACTTTTATACTGCTGTGGATTAGGCAAAATACTTATTTCATATCAGTTCATGACGGGTTCGATTTGATGTGCTATCATTCAAGGTTTCCAAAATGTTAGATTATCTTTAATTATCAACCTATGATTGATCTAGGGATTTTGCATGACCTCACCCATTTGCCTTTGTTAGGTACTGCCTACACCCGACAGGGTTGAATTCCACTGGTCACGTCTTCTCACGAGAACACCGAGAATTTCCTCACGAAGAAGGTCAGTGGTGAGCACATTTTACGATATTTTCAATTAGAGTTATGGAGATTAGTGTTTTTACACATTTGAATTCATCAAAGACATGACCAGTGGAATGCAACCCTGTCGGGTGCAGGCAGTAACTAACAAAGGCAAATGGGTAAGGTCACGCAAAATCCTTAAATCAATCGGACTTAGATATTAACACCATCGGATGCCGGCAGAGTGGTCCGATGGTTAGGCGTTCGCGCACAATACCGAAGTTCCCGGGTTCGAATCCTACGAGGTGTAGGAGTCATGGATGTGCACTGCTGATGAGTTTCATACCAGGACGAATCGGTCGTCCAGTGGTTCGAGGTTTCTAATAGTGGTCTAACAATGATTGATTGACGATTTGAAAGGTGTAAAAACACCCATCTCCATAACTCTCATTGAAAAAAATCAACGTGCCTTCCTTTAATCTACAATAAAATGTTATATTAATCCAAATATCATTCTGTACACTTTTGACTAGATAGCATATTTGTATCCTTTGTAAATAGGATATTATTGCGAAAGTATTATTTGAAATCACCATTTTATCGATCGTGAAACTGCAGTACATATCAATAACTTCCAGAGAAATCATGAACGTTGATGAAACCATTAGATTTTTGTACAGAGGTTACCGATAGAAAATGATTTTAAGACACTTGAATTTATGATCTTAAAACAGAAAAAATTATAAACCAAATTTTGAAAAATCTCTAAATATCGCAGAAATTTTCTGATTTATTCTCTTTATATTGCGTATTTTATATTATAAGTACCATATATGACAACATACTAACAACTTTCATGAGTTTCTCAAGATTGTTCAGGTATCTCAGACGTTTAAGAAAAATCTATAGTATTGCCATACACATTTTATGAACGCGTACAAAAAATGAGTTCTAGATCTATTGACTCGCCTCTAAAATTTCCGATACTTATTGACAATTAGCTATATATCATCAGTAACATCAGTCTTACTTAGAATGTGATCAGTTCTAAGTGAGATAATGATGATTCAGAAGATCTTGAGTTTAAGCTAAACTGTAGCTTTCTCATGCTTTATGTACTCTAGAATTTGAAAGACTATTGAATAGTTAGCTCGAAATCTTCTTAAGCCGACATTCGCCCTCGATGAATGCTGTCTATAGAACGAAAATAGTTTGACTTTTATTTCAACTCTGTTCCTTTTGCCTTTCAATTACAAACTGATCTTAGCTAGATAATAATTGAAAACTGAGAACAACTTAGTAACTGTATCATTTTCCATTTGAAATTATTTTCTCTATCTTTTTACACAGACATCACAATAGCCGCCTATTCATATATTTCACTAATGAAATATTCCGGTTGATTAACGTCATCGTCTACTTAATTGAAAATTAATTATATATCGGTAGGACAAGTGAAAAAAAAATGAACCAATCAAGTAGAAGAAGGGAGTAATTTGATTATGTTTGCCTCTCTTCCAATTGGGCAAATTATTCAACCAATTAGAAAGTTATCTTGCTTAATTTCTCTGTTGATTATTACTCTTTCTATAGAAATTTATTAATATACTCAATAATTCTTTTCTGCCAAGCATATTAAAATTATTTGATTCTCTATAAAATATATAATGACATAATGTTTACAATAATTGTTTTTTTATAAAAAAGAAAAGAAATGGTGTTGTATGACACAGAAGAGTGGAACAAATCAATTAATCATTGAGACACATTTCCGTTTACTCTCCTTGTCATGGTACCATTTGGGAACAGTTGAATTTTAATAAGCTTCTATTTCGCTATTTGAAATAACCATATGGATATTCTACTAATTGTTTTATTGGAGAGATTTTATTAAACGGGGATAATCAGTAAGTTATATTGATGTCTGCATAGAAAAAAAATTCGATTTATGATTAATGATTATTGAGTTTATCTTATTTTCTATTGATTTGCTGTTAATCGATTTAATGCCATACACAGATGGCGCTAATATTAGTGTACTAAAGATAACCATTCAAAATATAATTTCATCGGCAAGTATTTAATGCGAAATGAAAAGAGTCCACAAAATCTCGTCTTTTAACTTGAACGGTACTTGCTGTATATTAAATCATAAGTAGACTCTATGGAAAGCGTCATACTTTTCAATTAGTAAATCAGTCCGCTATCCTAGAAATTAATATATATGTATGAAATATGTAATATCGAAATGCTTGACGGTACATACCAGTGGCCTATTCCAATTGGATCAAGCCCGTGTACTCATCAGCGTAGGTTTTGGCAACATTACTATTGATTCTACAGTGTGGGAACTGTGGTCATAATCATCACGTCGATATGTATGGCTTCCACGTTTCATGCGTATGACAGTGTGATATTAATTTTTGGTAAAGATTTTTGTCCTAGTTTTTTAAAATAAAATCAAAGTGTCGCTTTTATTTTTTATTAAACTTCATCTTGTCAGTCGATCAATTTAAACATAGTTGCTCATAGTTGTTTTCTAATCTCCACCCATCTATTTGCATCAAACAAACTATATTTTTGACATTAAAAAAAAACAACTAAGTGATTACTTCATAAATATTACATGTGTAAGTAAGATACACGTAGCCACTAGAGAGAATGTTATATAATAAAATGAATTAAATATTCACCTGAGCTGTTATCACATTGAAATAAGCGAGAAATTAATCTTGAATTGGACACTACAAGGTAGTTGTTAACCAAAGAGACATGATCTCGCCTAGTTCTTCCTGTCCTGATTCATCATCATCTTTATGGAAGGGAAACTTCTTGAATTTGGATTTGAATTCAAAACGTTGCCATGATTAATTATCCCACGCTTAATTTTTATCAGCTTTATTGATAGATATACTTACATTTCACTGATCGATTAATTTAAAATATTTTACTAAGTATTAGTAGTAAACAATATTTATAGTAGTACACTTTGACTACCTGAGATGAAAGCTAATCAATATTATTTGACGTACATACATACATACATAACAGTGATAAACTAAAGTTAATTCAAGCAAGCATATACAGACTCATTGATTTGTGATTAATGTCTGTTCTGATGACATGATTTTTAGTCCCACAATGTGACTTATTGTGTGTGTGAGTTTTGATCAATTCAATCAGTTGACTTCTAGGCTTAATTTCTAATCGAAACATGATTAATGTTCATCATCGAGTTATCTTTTAAGTTATCGATTTTAAGACTGAAATGTCAGCAGACATCGATCGTAACATAAGAATATACCATCAATAAATTTTAAACAATACAAAATTTAAGTAATTAGGATATAATTCGTGAACGGTAAACTACAAATGAACAGTTAATGAGTCAAGCCAAACACAGTGAAAACATACGCATTATTAAAATCAATATTAAGGAGTAATCTAAGTCAAGTAACTAGTAGTACTGAGAAGTTTGGAAATAATTTTCCATTTCTAGTATGCATCTCCCTTTAACATTGCATATGCATGACCTTTTGACAGGAAATCGACTCTAGGGTATTCAGATATCCGTAGTGAGCGATTAATTATTGAATCACTAAATCGACATCAAATGATTTATGAGTTTAACCTCGAGAGGTTTATCAATATGAGGAATTATTTTTCATCCCTGCTGGTCGGTATCTCCAAAAACCTTAAATCCATTGATCACGTTTTCTTACTAAATCTCCATGAATCAGTTTTTGAAATAACACAATATAATCTTTGTGGTTATTATTGCTAAAAGAGATTTTTCAAGAGTGTTAAGTTCCCTATTTAATATCATTTTTATTGACCACTCATAACTCCATAGATTTGTTTGGTTTTAGTTGGTAAATTATCAATATATTAATGTTTAAACTATTCATTATGATAAAAAAAGTGATCAGTTGACATTGTAAATGTAATACATGTTTTCGTTAGTTAGCTGCTCATTCAAAGAAAACCAACAGTTTCTGATGTGAATTTATATCAAAGTCGGGTATAGGCAGTAACTACCAAAGAGAAATGGGTGAGGTCGAGCAAAATCCCTAGATCAATCACAGTTAGACATTAACACTGTTGGATGCCGGACCAGTGGTCCAGAGTTTAGGCGTTCGCGCACAATACCATAGGTCCCGGATTTGAATCCTGCGAGGTGCAGCAGACGTGGATGCGCACTGCTGATAAGTCCCATACCAGGACGAAACGGCCGTCTAGTGCTTCGAGGTTTCTAATGGTGGTCTAACAATAATTGGTTGATGATTTCAAATGTGTGAAAACACAAATCTCCAAAACTCTAACTGAAAAATCTTATTCACTTAATCCTTAATTAATATAATGTAAAAAAGAAAGATCAAATTTATAAGAGTGAGAAAATGCAAAACGCTAGACATATGTTAAAGTGAAACGTTTGTGAGGATTGTTGGAATTCATAGTTAACAACATGATTTAATCGTTTTATTTTATAAACGAAAATTGGGTAAAATAAAAAGAAGCGTCGAATAGGTGTTTTGTTTTCGGAAAGGTCAGAAAAGACTAAATACAATTTAAACTAATTACTACACCTACCCCCAAAATTTGTTATATGCTTACACTTCACCTGACTGAAAAATGATATAATAATTAACCGCTATATTTAGGATATATGTAAAATTCAAATACTTGTTTAGTGATTATCATTTCGACAACAGCAACTGAAGTGTACATCCGTTATCTCACCATGAAACGAACCTTAAACATATGATTCTCTGAGCTAGATGTTTTGGTTGTGGAGCTTTCATTGCTGTACTTCTGAACAACATCATGAGTACAAACTTCAGATAGAATTGAAGTATTTGGATTTCTCCACGTTTGACCCGTAGCTTGTTTTGTTTACCTCGATCTTGACTGGTTGCTGTTGACCTTAAACCTGTGGTTGTTTACACCATTGTTTTGATTGTATCCCACTTTTGATCTGTTTCTTGATCCTATGTCACCTATGACTTTTTTGAGTGATTCATGAATTGTGTCAATGTCGATGTGTTTGTTGATAGTTGATTGACCTGAGTGCCAAGTTTTTAAAAATTCTCTAGTGTTCTTTGTGCTCCCCCTATCCAATATTTCAATATAGTTCCGATCGAACGTACGTCCAAAGTTGTCCGTATATATTACTGTAAGCAATGAAATGTCATGGTGTTTAACTGATAATTGATGTTCACGTAAACAAAGTTGAAGAAGACATCCACCTTGGAACTCCTTGGCAGTAGGCATACATGAGAGCGTCAACATGGATTTAATCCAAGACATTCAGGCATCTCAGAAAAGAATTTTAATCGTCAGAACATTGAGATGACAATGAATAGGTTATATGTTTAGTATCAATAAAGTTGAAGATACTGAGTAGCTAGCATCCAAGTCTCTGTTTATCATAAAAATCTGTTAATTATTTCTTTAAGTTAGTAATTTGTAAGTTCATGATATATGAAACAATGAACTACAGCTTATTCGTTTTGAATGAGTTTTCAGAAGTAATTAACGTTTGATTGAAAACTGCTATGAAATCAAGTCATTCTTATAGTCATGTACAAGATAATCTTTATGCTGGTTTCAAAACTATTTTAATTTATTCTTTTTTCAATGTATTTAAGTTTTAAATCTAGTAAACAGTCAATATTTATCGAGTCATGGAAACAAATATTTTTGATATAATTTTCAAATAAGTATGTTATTTAATTTATCCAATGACATTCTGATGAAAGTCAAATAATGAATTTCACAAGTTGAACTGTTATTATCATCTGCATGTACAACTTTATAAGAATATCAATAAAACAAAATAAAGTTCTTTTAGGGCTAGAGTTTTGAAGGTTTGCGTTTTACACATTTCAAATCATCAATCAATCATTGTTAGACCACCATTAGAAATCTGGAAGCACTGGACGGCCGTTTCGTCCTGGTATGAGACTCATCAGCAGTGCGCATCCACGACTCCTGCTCGTCGCAGTAGGTCCCGGGTTCGAATCCTGTGAGGTGCTGGAGTCGTGAATGCGCACTGCCGATGACTACCATACCAGATCGAAACGGCCGTCCAGTGCTTCCAGGTTTCTAATGGTGGTCTAACAATGATTGATTGATGATTTCAAATGTGTAAAAAAGTTCTTTGATACATGAATGTGTTGCGAAGAAACAATTGTCACTAATATAATGTATCTGAAAGTTGATTTTTCTATATATGTATTCATTACAAGCCACGACTCACTGAAAAGATGTTATTTATTAATACATGACTTATCAATTGCGCTCATTGACGATCCCATTTAGGATCCAATCTAGGACCTTCAGGTCCCACTTTCCTCATGACGTCTAATATCACACAGAGAGGTTCGCTTATTGGACCTCCGTCAACTTATTATAGCTGGTGGAGTTCAACCGTATCGAGTGTCTGGCATTTACCCACCAAAAACAGCCGAAAGTGATTTTGCAGTTTATTTCTCAATGATCCTAAAGTCAGCCACTTATCATGCATGCCTACTTGCAAGTCCTGAGTTTGATCCTCAATAATTTGAGGTTAATAGAAATAATGGTCGTTCTATATAAAGAATCAACAAAAGTTTAAAATATGGATGCCTGACTCCTGACACATTGATTTATTTGAATGTTTTAAGTCCTTTCTACAGTAGAGTTAAGTTTTCGCAATACTGTAAAATTCTACAAAATAAATATCTATGCGATGATTCATAAAGTCCAGGTATTTCAGTCGATATTGAAAGCCAGCTTACATCTAAAAACTCTTTGTACAATCCGTGATCGATGAAAGACATGAATGCTTCTCCTTATTTCTGGCATTGATATTTTGAACAAACACGTTGTGGTGTGTGCTACTTGTACGAACGATATAAGTAGTATA